TCTATCTCTATCTATCTATCTCTGTGATGTGAAAAGGGTCCCTTTCTCCTCAGAGCTGGAGGGCCAGAATGGCTCAGAGTGAGGATACTGAGGAGAAATAACAGAACACAGAACAGCCCCACCCCTTAGGATAGAGTGTTACTGTTCACCATGTGCTGGTGGGGAACGCCAAGCCACTCTAGATCTAGCGCCTGTTCTCCAGGTTGTAGCCAGCCTGGTCTTGCACTTTCCTGCCTCAGCTTTCCTAGTGCTGGAATTCCCGGCCCAGCAAAGCTTGTCTTTGCTGACGGAGCATCTGCCTCCCACAGTATGAAAGCCCATAGTCTCACTTGCTCCTCTTATGTACTAGGACCATCTTTAAGCTCTGATCACCTCACATCAGGTTCTGCAAGCCACTTGAAAAACATGTGTGAATCGTGCTACTGAGAAGATGATATCCAGTCTCTTCTTATCACAATATCTGGATTTTTATATTGGCTCAGTAGCTGGGATAACAGAAATGCCTCCTGTTGGGGGAGGGCAGATGGTAGGGCAGACGTAGCCTGCTTCCCATGTCATTCATCACGTGGGTGAGCAGCTTCTGTAGTGTGTGAAGCCCTTGCGATTCTGTAACAGGAGAAGGTCCTTGTGGAGTCTAACCGAAGAAAATAGACTCTCCCTTTCCTGTGTGTAAGAAACGGCAGCTCCAGATTTGCAGGACCAGGCAGGTTGTGCTCCTCCGTGACCACCTGTCTGAATGGCATGCTTCTTTCTTACACCACCTTATTCCAGCAGTGGCTCTTTTCCTTACTCTGTCACAGCCTTGGCTGTCACTACTAAAGAAAAGGCCACCAGGGTTGCTGAGCCACTTTTCCCAGGCGTTTGTTAGCAGAGATAGACTTCTGGCCTGTGCTTAGAAGACTTCTTGTTGATGTTTACTGGTCGATTTATACTTGGTAGACATCAGACTGTGTTCTCTAGTCTCTGCCATCCTACATTTCCATGGCATCTTTTGCTTTGTAGATATTTAATAAATAGATGTTTCAGAAGTCTAGCTTTATTCCCAGTTTCCCACATTCTAAAATAAACTTGATTGCTTAGTAGAAATTTTGATGGTACCCTGAATTGCATAATCTGAAACCATCCAAATCATGTTCTGTATTCTTTGCCATTAGTTGATTCCTTGAGAGCATCCCAAGATTTCTTTTTGATGGCAGCAATTAACTTAATTAGTCCTCCAGATTCTGACGGCTTGAGGACTCATACCCTGTTGGTAGCCTTTTTGTTCCAGGAATGTCAAGACCTTTTGATGTTGACTGATCTTTCTTCTGTCCTTTTTATGCAGTGACTCTGAGAGATGGGTTGATAGTCAGAGACTCCGTCTTCCCTGTCCTCAGATCTCCAGATGTACCTTGAATGTGCGCACTGTCCCTTGTGCGTGGCAGGCATTCAAGCGAAACTAAGATGGGGGGTCCTAAGCTCCCTTTTACTGTGGCCTCTTGTCTCTTTTAGTGACTCACACGGTCTAAGTACTTTTCTGTTCCGTGTGTGTGTGTGTGTGTGTGTGTGTGTGTGAGAGAGAGAGAGAGAGATTAGTCTTGGTTCTTATTGGAGCACTGGTGGGTTGACTCTGGAAGGAAAAAGGGGATTAATGGCAGCTTAGATAGTAGGGACTTTGGCTACTCTGGCCAGTCTCACAGATCTTTTGGGATGCTCTGAATTTTGTAATGTAAACCTGATTGTTTTTAAAATGTGTGGGTAGACGTATGGAGAGAACCAAAGGGAATTGTCAGGGGATTTGTCTGTATTTTCAAAAAATGTTCCCTCTTAGAACTGTGTAGTGGTTGTTCTTTAGTTTATTGTCATTGTGTCTTTGTTTTGTTTTGGTTTTGGTTTTCAAGACAGGGTTTCTCTGTGTAGCTCTGGCTGTGCTGGAACTCACTCTGTAGACCAGGCTGGCCTCAAACTCAGAATTTCCCCCCGCCTCTGCCTCCCGAGTGCTGGGATTAAAGGCGTGCACCAGCACCAGCACCAGCACCAGCACCAGCACCGCCAGCCTTATTGTTTTATCTTTTAAGGTGCCTGGCATGGATCCCAGGAGCTCACAAATAATAGACGGTGACTGCTGCTGAGCCACATCCCCAGCCCCAAAAGCCCCTTTTTTGTTCCTCGGTGTGGTGACACACAGTCTCTTTGTGCAGTCCCAGCTGGCCTGGGCTCAGTCCTCCTGCTTTAACCTTCTGAGTGCTAGGATTACAAATGTGTCCACGCCCACCACAGCTACTCAGGGAATCCTAGGGGTTGGGAAGCTTGCCAGGAGTGCAGGCAACAAATCAATGTTGTTTTTTTTGTTTTCTGTAACCCATACCTCTGTAACAGGAATGCACTGTTAAACACCGGCTGACGGCTTCCAGGTCAGGTCAGCAAGGGGGAAGCTAATGAGTATTTGTACAATTACAATATGTGTTTTCTTCTTGATACGATAATAGGTTAATATGCAATTCCCCATTGCCAGGTGGCAGACCATAATCCCAGCACATGGGAAACTGAGCCAGGGGTAAAAGCAGGACTTTGAGACCAGGTTGGGATAAATAGTGAATTCCAGGACATCTAGGATAAACTTACAAAGCGTGGTGGTACATGCCATTATCCCAGCACTGGGGAGGCAAAGGAAGATGGATCTGAGTTCAGGACCAGTCTGCTATACATAGTGAACTCCAGGACAGCCAGGACTAAATAGTGAGACCCTTTCTCCAAAAGGAAAGAGGGTGAGGCTGAACAGATGCCTAAGCGTGCATGCTGGTCTGCAGAGGGCTGGCGTTCAGTTCCCAGCGCCTGTGTTGGGTGACTCACAACCACCTGTAACTTCAACTCCAAGGGATTCCACATCTTCCTTTGGCTTCCATGGGCATCGAGAAACAAATGGTATACACGTTCATACACATAAATAATTTTTTTATTTCAAAAAGGTCATTCCATAATCATTTATATCCAGTCTAGACCATCACATATAAACCACTTAGCCAATATCACAGATCTTTGGGATGGTATATATCTTAGCATCCAAATCACATATAAACCACTTAAAAACAACTTGACTCCTGCTCACAGTGACTGGGGAGTGGTCGCTCTAAGTGTGGTCGGCACAGCTGCTCACACCAACTGTCCTCTGGAGTTCAGGGTCATTGTCCACATCGATTTGTGCCCTTGGGCTTGCTTTCTGTTCTTAGAGCTGATGAGTTCTCATTGAACCCACAGTGCTGTTTGGAGAGAGAGGTACTGGGTGGTCCCAGAACCCCCAAGGCAGCTGCGGTGGAGGGGTCCTGGTGGGCCCCCATGTTGCTATCCTCGTCTGCCTCTTGTTGCAGGGCCCCGTGAAGCACGTGTACAGGGTCCTGCAGTGTCAAGAGGAAGAGCTCACTCAGATGGTCTCCACCATGTCTGACGGCTGGAAATTCGAACAGGTATATTTCTCCAAGAGCAGCGACCCAGCACCTCCTCCCAGGGAGCCACAACCAGCCAGTCAGTCGCCCTGGGAGTGGGGTGGGTGAGGCAGGTGCAACCCCATTTCAGAAGTAGGAAAGAGCTCCTTGGTGTGCATTACCTGCTCAGCGGCAAGTGGTGGTTGTGAAGGGTTGGGAGGAGGACCACATTTCTTGGTTTCACATCCAGCGTTTGAACTTGACAGTGCCCGGGGTCGTGGAGCTTATAGACCTGAAGCACCTCCCTTTGCTTTTTGTTACCTCAAACATTCCTTCAGAAGCGCTCTGCTGACATCGTTCTGTGAGCCCTGAAGAAGGCTGGCTTCATCAGGAACTTAGTGTTCTGGATGGATGGGCCTCAGGGGTGCTAGAAGGGACCAGACACAGACGTGTGTCACAGTCATTTCCCAACATTCTCTCCCGTCATGTCTTTGTGCTTAGAATTGAGGTTAGGAAAACAAAGCCCCCAGGATCTGGATTTTACCGTTTTCTTCCAGTAGATGGCAGCCTAGTTCATTTTCTGTTGCCGCGGCTCTCCAGGAAGCTGAGCTTGCACGGGGTGAGCGTTGGTGTGGAGATGACTGTCTGTGGAGTCTCCGGCCAGCTGCACTGTCACCAGCTCACTTACAGAGCACATGCTACGGCTTGCGTGAGCACTGCTAGTTGTAGCTAGAGGCAGAGATGCCTCACTCTGCGCTGCAGAACCGGCCCCGTCACATGGGCCCCTAGTGCCCAGTCAGCCGTGGGTGGCCAGACACTGCAGGGCTTATCGTCACAACTCTTTCCTGATAGGTAATCTTAAGCAGAGGTTATTTAAAACAATATGTGAATATTCTTGGTGAAGGTAATGGTTAATTATAAATGTTACTTATTAGTGTTATCACGACCCTGGCTCTTGAACCCATGGCCTCACACAGTCTAGGCGAGTGCCCTCCCAGTGAGCTGCACTCTAGTCCTCACATGGAATCTTCTAATGCCTTGAAGGAGGGTGAGGTCTGTTCTTATTGCCTCCAAGGTGTGGATGAGGAAGTTGGACATGGGGGCTCCCAGTTCTGCAGCAGCAGTGCCCCAACCTCAGGCTGTGCTTGTGAGGCCACACTCGCTCTTTGCCTGCGTCTCTATGTGCAGATTTCCAAGTTAGAGTTAAATGCTGAATTGTTTCTCCCAAAGGGTTAAAGTACCATGGCATGCAGCTTTTGATGGCTGCAGAGTGGTTCGCTTGGTACTTCCAGGTCTTTCTGGGTTCTGGGTTCTGGTCTCTGGTATGGAGAAAGAGCCAGTGGGACCAGGCAGGGCTGGAGGGAGTGCCTGCAGAAATACTCATCTTACCTCATGTTGATGCTTCTTGATGCCTTTGGGGTAGTGTCAGGTGCTTGGGTGAGGGGACAGGATGGAACTCCGTGGTGATAGCTAGATCGGGATCCACTTGTTCCCAGGGACCTTGGCTGTCCCCAAGAACTGTTATCCTTTGAGGCATAAAACTACACAGTCCAGTTGGTGTGACTTGTGTGGTACTGGGGTGCTTTTTGGTTTGATTGGTTGTTTTGTTTTGTTTTTTGAGACAGGGTCTCACTAAATAGCCCTGGCTTCCCTGAAACTATTTAGATCAGGCTAGACTCAAACTCAGAGAGATCTGCTTAGCTCTGCATCCTGAGTGCTGGGTAGGTGTATCCCACCATGCCTGGCCCAGGACTTGAGTGTTTTAAGCCCCTGTGTATACGGGTATCTAGTTATCACCCTCCTGTTTTGCCAGCTGATCAGCATTGGCTCCTCCTATAACTATGGAAATGAAGACCAGGCAGAATTCCTCTGTGTTGTCTCCAGAGAACTAAATAATTCTACCAACGGCATCGTCATAGAGCCAAGCGAAAAGGCCAAGGTAAGACATGGCTTCCCCAGGCTGTCCTCTGCCTCCTTTGTGCCCAGCCTCTCTCCAGCTTTGCCCCGGCTGCCACTGGGTTCCTTTCCCTCCTTCCCCACTGCGAGTTTCTCTCATGCTCTCTTGGATGCTGGATTTAAACCAGGCTTTGTAGGGCCTTGCGAGATGGCAAGCAGAGTCAAATTGGTGAGCTCCGGCTTCAGTGCAAGACCTTGTCTCCAAAAAGAAAACAAAGTGAGGTGGAGAGTGATAAAGGAACATGCCCAGCTTGGACTTTGACTGCCGCACAAACATGCACACCCACCAACACACACACACACACACACACACACACACACACACACACACACACACACGCTTATACCACACACACGTATAAAAGCAGTCAGTGTCACAGGAGCTGTGCCTAGATGAGGGGAGTTTTTGCATCCTGTCAGGATGCTGAGGAAGCGGAGTTTTGCACTCAGGGCACTTCTCAGTGTTGCTGGATGCAGTCAGGCAGTGTCTGCCTGGCTCCTCGACAGCCCATGGTTTCCTTCTCCTCCCCCACTGTGCCCTACAAACGCACACTTCACACTTCTGAAGAGCCTGAGTGTGTGGTGACTTTAACTGCTTTCTTTAACTTAGAAAACTTTGATCCACCAGCACAGAACCTTCTCCTCCACAGCAACCTCCCTGTGCTTGGCAAGAGAGCTCTTTGCACTCAGGCACCCAATGAGGTTGAGGCTCCGAGCCTGCCTGCCTTGCTACATGGGCTGACAACAGATTGTGAGCTGCCCACAGGGCCAGAGGAAGCAGCTGCAGGTTTTAAAAATCTTTTTAAAATCGTTATTATGATATCTAGTCTACTTCACTGTCTTCAGCTGTATCCTGTGCCTCAGTGCCCACACCCCGAGCTGGTGCTGGAGACCCAGCCTTTCCCAGGGTGAGCACATGCTTTAGTCTCTCCTTCCCTCAGCAGTTGCTCAGCTGACTGTCTTCCACCATCTTCCACTCTTAGATTCTTCAGGAGAGAGGCTCACGGATGTAAACGGAGGATCTGAAGTTCCAGAACCCTGAAGGCAAGAGAGCGATCGACTGAGCAGCTGTGAAGGGAATCCTGCACCTGTACAGTAACTGAGCTACTGCAGAGCCAAGCTGCAAAGCCTGGTCCCAGAGAAGTGGTGTCCGCTGAGACCAGAGGAGCCCACCCGCCTCGGACCGAGACGACAGTCCGCCTCTGGCTGCACGGCCCCTTTTCAGAATCCTACTTTTGTTTTCTAGCCAGTGTTATGACAGACCTTCACAACAGCATCTAGGATGGGTCCCTGGCTGGAGCCTTGTGGGGAGCTGGGGGGAAAGGAGGAAGGCCTAGCTCTCTGAAAACAGTCCAAGGAAGCTAGAACAGAGGAAGGAGGCTTGTCCTGAGCTGTGCCCTGATCTCAGCCTGCGTGCGCCGGGATGGATGCTGGCAGCTGCCATGACCATTCTTCCCTGACTGAGGCATTCTTTGAAGTTGCTGGGATGCAGGGGATTCCAGCCTTAGCGTGCTGAGTCGAGGTTTGGGGTACAGAATGGAGTTGCCAGAGGACCCGCAATCCTATGAACAGAGCCCCAGAGGCAGGAGGATGAGGTGTCCTGTGCTGTGCTTGGAGGGACTGGTTGCTGTTCCTGGTTCTGAGCACTGGCCTGTCCCTGCGAGTAGCTTCACCTGGTGTCTGTCCCCAGTGGGGCCCGCATGGCCCAGCCTCAGGCAGGAGCTTAGAGGCTGTAGCATCCTGAGCAGCGCTGGGCGGACGATGGCCTAAGCGGTTGCCGTAACCGTATCTGCATTCTTACCTGGTTGGCCCCGTCTTCCTCCCCCAGCTTCTTGAACTGGACCAAAGAAAAAGGACTTTGTGGACCCTCTGTATGGCTTGGGGTGAGGAAGGCTGTTTCTGTGGAAGCTGCCAAATGTGTCATGTTGTCATAGCTAAACGTGGTGGTGTTTTTGTGATTGTCTATTGAACATGCACTGACTGATCGGAGATACTTGTGTCTCTCCTTGATTTCCAACTGTGGTAAAGCAGCCATGCAGAATAATCCCCAGGTGTGTATGTGTGTGTGTTCACATGCATGGTGGCAGTCTGTGAACTCCCTGCATTTTTGATACCACCTCCCACCCACCCCCACAACACACTTTGACCTGGGCATGCAATGTTGGCAGGCAAGGATTCAGTGCTTGTGCGATGGAGTGCTACAAATCCTCTTGAAGCTGTCGGCCTAGAGCTGACGTGGTCCTGCTTCTCTGAACTTTGGAGTCTAAGCATTCATGGAAGATGGGACCAGGGTCTCCTTTGTTTTTCCTAGACAATTAAACCGTGACATGTGGTAACAAAACAGGGAATGTAGGCAATGGTGGTGCACGCCTTTAATCCCTGCATTGGGAGGCAGAGCCAGGCAGATCTCTGTGAGTTCGAAGCCAGCCTGGTCTACAGAGCGAGTTCCAGGAAAGGCACCAAAACTACACAGAGAAACAAAAAGGAAAAAAAAAAGGCCATAAAAAGCCGGGCGGTGGTGGCGCACGCCTTTAATCCCAGTGCTCAGGAGGCAGAGGCAGGAGGATCTTTGTGAGTTCAAGGCCAGCCTGGTCTACAGAGCGAGACCCAGGAAAGGCGCAAAGCTTCACAGAGAAACCATGTCTCAGAAAAAAAAAAACAAAAAAAAACAGGGAATGCTCCCTCAGATTGACCCAGGCCCAGCACCCATGGGTGCTTTCAACACCAAGATTCTCTGCTTTCATTGGGTGTGGTGGCACACACCTTTCGTCAAAGCATCTGGGAGGCAGGGGCAGGTGGATCTCTGTAAGCTCAAAGACAGCCAGCCTGGTCTACAGAGTGAGTTCCAGGACAGCCAGGGCTCCATAGTGAGACCCTATCTCAAAAAAAAAATCTCTATATCCTGTAGCACAGCTACTTACCAAGAGCTGGAGAGTAGAGACTTCTGGAACAGCAGCGTTCTGTGCCAGCTGTCTCATGTGACTGACCGCCCAGAGGACCTCGCTGTTCCTAGGAGGCCCTTCCCTTCACCCTTGCAGCATAGCATCGAGGTACACCTCTCCAAGGCCCCTGCGTGTCGACTGGTGTTGGCACCCCAGCCCAGCTGGCCTACTGTTGGACAGCTGTGCCATGTTAGATGGCCTGCCTTCAGAAGTGGTCTCCCTTCCAGAGGGCCCCAGGCATCCACCGTTGTCTCTTTCAAAACAAAAAGAGAGAGAGAGAGATGTGTGTATTCAGGGAAAACTAGAGGGTGGGTGATCTGCCCAGAGAGCTAGAACTGAGAAAAGGGTCTTTTGACCAAGTCAGCAAGTGATGTCAATTTGGAAGAAGCTCTCCATTTGGAGCCTCTGTTCATTCGCCCTGTGAAGTCCCCTGTCCTCAGCTCTTCTCAGGCACACCAGGCAGTCTGTTGAGACTGGGACTCTGGACAGGCTTTGGTGCCTCTATCCTCCCCCCCTCCCCCATTCAGCAAGGAGTATGGAGTATGGGGAGTGTTATCCTCATTGAACATTCCAGAGAGCCCCAGCTAGTCCTGTACAAGAATACCACCTAGCGAGCATCAAGCCTCTGGGGGGTTGGGACAAAGGGACACCACCTTTCAGGATGGCCTTTGTCCCACGCCTCTAGGACCATGCCAGTCACTGCTGAGAGCTGACCTTCATGACTGTTCATATGTCTGAACAAAGTCTGAAATGTGACTTTCCTGTCAATAAAAAGAAGAAACGAGCACTGGGTCTCGGACCCTGTGTGCATTTGCTAGCTCGCGGCTGCTGTAGCCATTTCATATCATCTGCTCTCGGGACAGGCTTTCTGTACCTGTTCTTCAGTGCTCCTTAGCGCCCCGCCCATCCCGCCTGCTCAAACTGCCGAGGCACGCTGGGCCTTCCCCTTCCCTTTCCTGACACTGGAATGGAAAGGCCCGAGATTGCTGACAGCATCGGCCAGAGCTGGAGGAACAGGGAGGAGCTGCTGAAGAGAAAGAGGAGCAGGTGCCCATGTCTACCAGGCAGAGGAAGGGGATGGGCAGGTGGTGAGAACCAAGTGCAGGTGTTGATCACAGGCCTGGGGTGAGGGGAACCTCTAAAGGCCCTGTGCGGGCTGCAGCTGAGCCACACAGATGAATGAACAGACAGGCAGTGTCGCAGGGTCACCCCAGAGGCAGCTGGTTAGTGCAATTAGTGGGAGTGAGGGAGGGCCCCCCCCCCCCCCGAGCGCCCCGCTGCAGGGATGGATGCAAGCAGAGGGAAGAGGCTGGATTAGCAACATGTCAGGAGGTGCTGTGGAGGAATGCAGCCACTGCTGTCCCAGGGCCCAGGAAAGCTGCAACTCCCACCTGAACCAACCCTGCTTCCAAACCAGCTGTTGACAGCAAAGCACGAGATGTTGCTGTTTGTCAGTGATGGAAGCAAACAAGAACTCACTTCCCAGCACCCAGGCTGGAGGCTTACAACTCCCTGGCATCCAACACCCTCTTCTGTCCTCTGGACGCGCGCGCGCGCGCACGCACACACACACACACACACACACACACACACACACACACACACACACACACCAAAGGTACATATATATAAAAAGGTTGACAGACACTGAACATGTACCTACCATCCATTGGGACTCAACCATTGTTAACGTCTGTCTTTGTTTTATACATACATTACTGGGGCATTTTTGTCTAAAGTAATTGTAGACCTTGTCTCACTTCAACCTTAAAGTATTTCAGCCAGCATCTTTTAAGAATAAAAATATTTGGGGTTGGGGATTTAGCTCAGTGGTAGAGCTCTTGCCTAGCAAGTGCAAGGCCCTGGGCTTGGTCCTCAGCTCTGAAAAAAATAAATAAAAATAAAAATATTTGCTGGACAGTGGTGGCACATGCCTTTAATCCCAGCACTTGGGAGGCAGAGAACTCTGTGAGTTTGAGGCCAGCCTGGTCTACAGAGCAAGATCTAGGACAGGCACCAAAACTACACAGAGAAACCTTGTTTCAAAAAAACAAAACAAAACAAAAGAATAAAAATCTTCTTCCCCACAATTGCAGTAGCAATGTCACAGCTATAAAAGTAAACATTCCACAGTATCTGCGTCTGGGGATGTAGCTCAGTTTGACCGCTTGCCCATCATGCAGGAAGCCCTAGGTTGCTTCCCAGCAATGCAAAACTGAGCTCAGCAGCGCAAGCCTATCATCCCAGCTCTTGGGAAATGGAGGCTGGAGGCAGAAGGATCGGTAGTTCAAGTTCACTCTCAGTTACATAGTAAGTTACAGACCAGCCTGGGATACATCAAACCCTGTCTTAAGAAACAAATCCACAGTATGACCTAAATATCTAGTTTTTACTCAAATTTCCCAAATTGTCCAAACATTTAGGTGCTTTTTAATGTGTTTTACTTTTATGTGCATGAGTGTTTTGACGGAATGTGTCGCATGTGTGTCTGGTGCCCACAGAAGTCAGAGGAGGGCATCAGCTTCCTTGGGACTGGAACTACAGACAGTTGTGAGCTGCCTTATGGAAATGGAACCCAGATCATCTGGAAGAGCAGCCAGTGCTCTTAACTACTGACTGAACCATCTCTCCAACCCCATAGATGCTGCTTTTCTTTTTTAAGCCAATCAAAGTTCTCACATCAAATTCCATTTTAAATCTCTTTTTTTTCTTGACATTGTATTTTATGGGTGTGCAGGTACATGTACATGAGCTGTTTCTTGACTACCATCTGTGGGATCCAGCAATGTATTAAGATCATCAGGTCTGCATACTACACCTGTACTCATCATCCATCTCACAGGTCCTCATGATATAACTCTAGTGCCTTAACAGCTCTAGCCAGACATGATGGCACGTGCTTGTAATCCCTGCCCTTAGGAAAGAGAGGCAGGAAGATTAGGAGATCAAGCTCCCCTACACAGCAGATTTGAGGTCAGCCTGAGCTACATGAGCCCATGCCACGAACTTTAAAAAAATCTTAATGTTGGGGACTCTCAGATTGCACATAGTAAGGCTGAGTATAGCTTGCTACTTGTTTGTTTGGCAAGTGTTATTTATAGGGGAATCACTCACACCACAGTACCCAGGGGAGGTCACAGGACCCTACAGGAATCAACTCTCTCCTTCCTCCACAGATGGAGGGTTCCAGGAATCAAACTCTGGCTTGGCTGCAAGGGCCTTTAACCTCTGAGCCGCCTCACCAGCCCCCAAGTAGCACTTTCCTAACCATTGTTAGGGTTGCTATTCAGCTGCTACCTTTATTTCTCTCTTAGCATTCACCACAGCCATAACATATGGTGGCTCTGTTGAAAAGGGTGAGTCCTCTTGGCCTGTGCCTCCCTCAAACATAGCATCCACCTGTGGCAGGTCCAGCTCGTTCCTTCTGGGCCTTCTGAGTTGCATCCAGCAGGGAGGAGGGAAGAGAGGGAGAGGGTACTTGTTTAGTCAAACCTCCAACAGAGGTGAACATTGTGGAATCTGTTAGTAAAGGGCGGGCGTACAATGGATGTGATTCACATTTCTCTGCACAGTGATATGGCGCGTGTCAGGTGCTCTGGATCTGGCTGCAGTTTTCACTCTCAGCGTCTCAAGTCGAGAGGGTTTTGCTCACCCTTTTCAACAGCCCTGCACCAGCCCGTTCACACCGACGGGCACCATCACAGGAGATGCCTTGGCAGTGTGGGTGAACTTCCCTAGGACGGAACTCTAAGAGGACAGAAACCTGTAAAAGGTGAGACAGGGAGGAAGTGGCAGTGGGTGTCTTCGAGGTGGTGGGGAATGGAAAACAAACCGTAGACTAAGTGATGGCAGGCAGATCCAAAGACACTCTGCTGGGCACATGTCCGGTTCCCAGCGGGAGGGACAAAGCCATCTGCTTTCACGCAGAGACTCGCTTCTGTGAAGCTCTGGGTGTGGCATTTGAACAAGCAATGGTGGGAGAGGGGAAGCCGGCCAGTGAGGGGATAGTAAATACTGAGGTACTGATAACCAAGGGCCAGATATTCT